AGATTTCTTATTCTGTCATTAAATTAATAGTCTTTTTAATATGAAATTTGTCGCAAAAAACTCATTTGTAGTGCAAATTAGGAATTTTTCTTTTCATTAGACGTTTTACGTGGAGAGAGAGAGAATGATAATCAATACCATTATTCAAAAATTGTATTATGAAATATGCTTTCTCCTATAGCTTGACAACAGAATCTCATGTCTTTGTATTGCACTATAAATAGACTATAAATCAAACAAACAATTCACTCAAATATTAATTTCAATTTGAGGACAAATAGTGGTAAATAAATCTCAATATATTAAACCGTAAAATCTTAAGACATTGTATATATTGTCAATGNTTTCAGCGCAAAAGGCAAAAGTGTCGTACAAACACTCATTGAGTATATATAATATGATATATTTATAAATGTCAGACAAAATATGAGCTAAATTTAGATTTTTATATTACGATTTTCTGAATACTTAATGTCACAAGATTTAGGGATTTTGGACAATAATTGCAATTTTATTTATGTAAATAAAGTGAATATTATTTTCTTATATACTGTATACGGTATATATATTCGGCATTACAAACAATATTAGGAAACATTATTCATTATAAATATAACATTTAGATCTACTGATGCTATAAATTATATAATATGTCGTAAATTTTTTTTGTTGAATGAAAGTCATGTAAAATTAAGGCATATTAACAGTACGTGTATATGAATATTCCTGAATGTCTTAATATGCAAAATGTTATTTATTTAAGACTTTTTAATCATACATTTGTTTGAGTTTTCTAATCGTTTTCAAGTCATGTATTTGAATGTTTGGATTACTGTCATTAATAACATTATCATATGTTTTATAAATTTTCAAATAATTATTCATGTCAGCAAATACAGTATTAGTGACTAAATAATCCAGAATTTATATTTATTTTCTCATAACTTTATAATTATTCATATGTATTGAATATAAATTAGCTTTTTTACCGATACTAATCAAACATATTGAGAATTGTATAAAACTGTTTTGTGTGCCAAATATTTTTCTAAATTATCATTTGTATGAAACCATAGAAACTTATTTTTGAAAATTTTATTATCTATTTTAATTTTGTGGATGCAAAATATGTGTATTTGTCGGAAATACATGTCAAACACATTTTTTGGTCTTTGATATTCATTTTCATTTTTCCCATTATTTGTGTTCAACCGTCAAATCTTTGTATGAAATGTTGATTTTAATGGAAAATAACTGGATTTTGTGAATCACTTGTTTGTCCAAAATATCAAATGTCTATTCAAATGACACTCAAAACTATCGTGATTTCCATTCACTCCCAGACCATTTATTAGCCTTTCCCCTCCTGTCGTCTGTGTGTGTATTGAATTCCCATATAATTATGTTTTGTGATGTTTTCCATACATTGTATTTATTCCTATGTATAGAACTTAAGACAAACACATAATAATAAGACTCACATTTATTTTTACTTTATTAATATACCAAGAATATTCTATTATTATTCCTATGGGGAGTGAGAATGAATCAATTCTTACCGGAATATTCTCATTATATTACGAGAGAGTCAATAAATTCTTGTCATGAATAACAGGCAATATATTCATTCTCGGACTATAATTATATACATGTTATTATTATTATTGTGATTAAATTGTAGTGAAATATGCATATTTATAATAAATGTCAGATTTAATGGCAATGTTTTTAATCAAATTATATTTTTATATATGAATAATGTTTGCCATTATTGTCGAGAATAATGAAAAATTTTGTTTCAATATTTTGATGTTTAAATGCAAACACTGAATGCAGTTTTTCTTATTCATGTAATTGTTTGGCTCAGTATTTATTATAGTTATGTCTTATCTAATATAAATCATTATTGTACAGAATATATTACTTTATAATGATTTATGACTTCCTATTTATTAGGTGGGTGTTCGGTAGCGCCGGTTGTATAATAATAACAATGCCGCCTTTTTGTTTTATTATTATATTTTTATTTTTATAGACCTTAATCAGAAAACCATTATTCAATATATTTATACATTTTCTTGTTATCACAATATGCAGTAAAACAACAAAATATTTATTATAATGACTTAATACATATTTCTTATACTTATTGTACAGTACAATATACTGTAGTACAGTATTAGTTTCAAATAAAGTATACTAATTTTTATATGAATTATGATTTTCACTATTGAAATGTTGTATTTGGCTATATGTTAACTGTTAGATTAAAACAATGATAAATTGCATTTTATTAGGAACTAGTTAATAGTTAATTCTAAGTTATATGACTTTTCTATATAATTTATATTACTTATTTTTACTATTCGTAATATTCTTTATAAAATTATAAATATTCTCTATTTTCATATTACCGTTAACTCTCATTTATTTTGAAATCTTATGCAAAAATATTTAAATATATTTTAAGCCCTTTTTTAGTTGAATAGTTACTGAATAATTAGAATTTTCACTAATGTATAACCAAATGGTTAAAAGTTGTATATGATTTTAGATGAATTTTAAGTCATGTTTTTAAAATTACAATCTTGTTAATGTTTTATATACTAATTTTAGTTGAGACACTTTTCTGTAATATGAAATAAGTTTTTATTTTTATTATATTGAATTATGATAAACAAAATTATATTTTCATGTTATTTGAAGTGTATTTTAATCGATAAAATATAGCGTATGGAGAATGCCATACAAATGGGAATTCTCACTCAATCAGTCTCTCTCTCTCTCTCTCTCTCTCAATAAATTCATTTATAAAAATACTACAAAATATATCAGTAATACGATAATAATTACAAAATTTGTATAAAATTGATGAAAAATGAAATATTAATAAACATGAGAAGTAATGATAAATTATGAAGTGATTGCTAAGAGTTAAGGCACTAAACAATACAAATTCACAACCGATTTGAGTGCTTATTGTATTCAATGATTGCATTTCTTAAGGCTTAAGTATTTCATAAATACTTTCTACGGTATTAATAGTAATATAAAAAAAACTATTAAAAGTAACTATAAATTCATGACTTGTTTTCAAATATCGTTAGGAATTGTATTGAAAATGAATGGAATGTTTGATTCGATGAAGACATCAATTCTAACACTTCTTGTAAAGAGTGATACACTTCTTGTAAAGAGTGAAACACTTGTTTAAACATTTTCTTTCTTATCGTTTTGATTATCATTTGATTTTTTATTCGTTTGTTTGTCAGTCTTATCGCTCTTTTCACTGGAAGTCAGCGTATTATGGGATCCGTTCTCGTCCTCGTTGTTCCGGTTGTCGTCGATGTCATAGTCAGAGATGCGCTCATCGGTGGCGGCGTTGGGGTCGTGTTCATCGACCTCTTGGTTCACACTATTCTCGGGAGAGAGTGGACACTGAAGACACTTCGACTCATTGATCCCATAATTAATACAATAACTGCCGACACATTCACAGCAGCCGTCGTGAAACCACCGGTAAGAGGAGGCGCCCATCGAAGTGCACGAAGACTTGCATTTGTTCCAAGACATGCATTGAGACATATAAGCGACCGTACAGTTGACGGCTATGTCCTTCTCGATGTCGATGCCATCGGATCCGTTGTTTTTCATGACATCCGTATGCGGTTGTGAGGCAATCGACTCCATGACCACTACCTTCAATGGGAACGAGTAAGAGGTCCACCGAAGCAAATGGTCTCTCTCTTCGGTGAGGACAGAGAACAAGTCGTGTTGGGCTTCAGTGAGCTCTTCCACGTGAGACTTGGAGGCCAGCGATGAGTCCGTTGTGTTCGCCTTCGGACACATCTCTGCAACACATTTGTGGACACTATTAGTGACATTCATACGAGTGACAGACAGTCACCACCAGACATACCAACGCATGAGCAGCAGTCGTGGTAGAGATAGTCGAGGCAGTGGTAGCAGTCTCTGGAACAGGTCCGGTTGCCGCGGAAGTCCTCGCATTTGCACGACTCCAAGAGCATACACTTGGACACAATGGACGCACACACGGCCTCATTGCACGACTCACTGCCCACGAGACACACCATAAGACATGACATCCACGCGCACGCTATGGCCCACTTCATGCCATTCCTCCAATTCATTGTCAACTTCTTGTGTCAATAATCACTTCAAATCACATCTATTTGTCAACAAATATCACACACAGAGAAGCCATTAGTCAGTGATTCACACAATCATTACGTCAACCAATTGGTCGCCAATTGAGTGATCGTTTCAATTGTTTTCATCAATAAATCAATTGATTTGAAAATTTTGGACCAAACTATGGCTCACGTGTTGGCCGTTAAACCACTTTTGCATCAATTGATTGCAATTTAACTCAATTTACAAGAAGTTGACCGCAAAACCAGTGGAAGTCGTGACACGTCTTCTGTGTATAACTTAAGGAAACGTTTGATTGTATGAAACGTATTGTGAATGCAATTGAGTTTGTGTTGTATTTAACGGCAATTTAATTGAAACCCAATTGCAGTCAAAGTTTGCTTACATTTTGTGTTCAAATAATGGCTTCAAATGAGTTGTTTTGGTTCAGAGGAAGTGTCAACGAAGCCATCATTAAGTCGAAGAATGAGCGCAAAGTCTTCATTGTCTTCATCAACGGTTTGTTTATTAAACACTCAATTATGACATCAATTAGTCTTTGATTGTCTCAGGAACTGATGACATCTCTGCCAAAATGAATGGTCTCTATGAGAGTCTGTCGCAGAAGTTGTCTGAACTACCATTGGTTGCCATCAAACTGGAGGCACAATCAGATAATTGCAAACTTTTCTCCCAAATCTGTAATTAAAATCAAATGTCATTTACACTGATGTCATGTATTGATTGGTTGTCTGATGTGTCCACAGATCCAGTGATAGTGATTCCGAGCACTTATTTCATTGACTCGAATGGCGTTGCGATCGAAATCATCGGCGGTTCCGTTGAAGACCAAAACGTTTTGTTGGAAAAAATCAACAAATCTATTGATATCTATAAACAAAGTTTGTCTTCAAATGCCACCAAAAATATCGATAAAAGCGAGACCTCTGTAGACAAGCAAAGAGTTTCCAAAACACCACCAAAAGAGTCGACTCCAGAACCTTCGGTGGCGTCGCCTTCTGCGGCATCGAGTAGTTCCACGTCTTCAGCGACTACTACTTCGCCGGAGTCTGAGAGGCCATCACTGGACGCAAAGGTGGAGCGCGCGAACCAATTGATTGAAGCGCTCCGACAGAAGAAGGCTAAGGAAGAGGAGGAGAGGGAAAGAGCCGATGAAATTGAGAGACGAAAAGGTGTGAAAGAAATGTTGTCCTCAAAGCGTCAGAGAGAAGACAAAGAGGCCATGGATTTGGTTAAAGAGAGGGAACGCGAGAAGAGGGAGGAGAGGGCGGCCCGGGAGAGGGTTTTGGCGCAAATCGCTGCCGACAGAGAAGAACGAAGGGCTCGAAACATGGCGTTCACTGAACCGAAAGCCACGCAAAGCAATGACGCGGACTCTGAAAGCATACAACAAGAGGTTCGCCAAAGAATTGACACAAAGGCTCGCATTCAACTCAGACTTCCCGACGGCTCCACTCGAAACAATGTCTTTGAGGCCAATGACACACTCGAAAGTGTGCGACAATTCGTGATAACAAACCTCAACATAAGAGCCTTCACTCTCGCGACTCCATTCCCGCGAAGAGAGTTCGCAACCGATGACTACAGTCAGACATTACAGCACTTATTATTATCTCCCTCTTCGGTCTTAATAGTGGTTCCGAGTTCTGGTTTGGTTCCGAGCTCTCGAGCCCTTAGTTCGCAGTCGTTTGTGTGGCAAATGATCACATCTCTGATCAGTCCGTTTACTCTGGTCTGGAATCTAGTGAACAGATTCTTTGGGTCCAATCCTAACGTATCGAACGAATCGAATCGAAATGAGCCGACAGTTAGCAGAAGTGCCGCCGAAAAGAGGACAACAAAAGGGTTTTACAACAAAGACGGCAATATCGCCAGAATGAGGGACACCGCCGACGATGACTCCGACGACACCAACACTTGGAATGGAAACTCAACACAACAAATGTGAGCCATAATTGTCTCACAAGTATTTCTGTTATCACAGTTTTATTCAATTTGTATTTTAAAAGTTGTCAATTATTTTGCAATTAATAAACTAATCAAATGTCATTCTAATCAATCAATCAATTAATTAATTAATTTAGTTACAACTTTCTCTTCACTTCCAATTTAGCTGTTTTTATCTTTTTGAGTTTTGTAAAAATAAAATTGATTTTAAATACCCGGTAACTTTGTGTCTTATATTTGCACCAATATTTCTGACTCGGTATAAGTAGCAAGAAATTGCAATAATAGTAATGAACACAATGTGACCATAACTTGCCTTCAATTGATTTGAAATAAGCATTGGTGTGCTTGTGAGCCATTCAATCAATTTTCCATTACAAAAAAACAAGCACAACATTAAATGTTTTGTATCATGGTACAGTTATCTCAATTAAAAATATTCGACTATAAAATACCTGGTGTTTAACTGAGCACTTGATTGGTGATCGGATCCACTCAATGAATTCGGTCGAAGGCTTAGCCAACGATGTACTCTGCGGTCGAATAAGTGTTGAGAAAGCGTTCAATAGTTCATTAGTTATTGAACACAGAATTGACAGAATTGACAGAATTGACAGAATTGACAGAATTGACAGAATTGACAGAATTGACAGAATTGACAGAATTGACAGAATTGACAGAATTGACAGAATTGACAGAATTGACAGAATTTCAAGAAATATGGAATAAATGAAGCGATCAGTGATGAGACCTCTGCTCTCACTCCACAGAACTCTAGACTCGAACCTAATTGAGTGAAAGACTGGACAAGAATGGCATTCATAGACTCCAAGTCATAGAATATACTGTTTCTAATCACATACTGTGAGAGCGCCTCCACTCTGATCGCTAGACTCTTTAATTACATTAAACTAAATAAACAATAGAAAAGTAATCAAAATATAAAATATGAGTCGATCGGCAATTAAATACAGGATATCGGTATAATTAATTATAAAATAAATTCAATGCAATGCCAATAGACTTCAGCCCTTCCATACCTCTCATTAAGACTCTGTCCAATTAATAACATGTATGATAGGAATAATCTAGATCTATATTTGTGATTAGTTGTGCCGTAATGTACAGGTATAGGGAATAATGCTATTAACACAACATTATTAAAGGTATTCATAAAATGATGACAATTATTTAAATGACTTCTAAATGTATAGTAATTAAGAATACCATTAATGACAGCAAACTTCTAGAAATAACTTTCAATTTGTGCAGTCAATGTCTCCCCCCTCCCCCTCCCCCTCCCCCTCACCACTCGTTGTATTATAGATAACAGAGTTTGTGAAGAGTAGGCGTATGAGTGACTGATTGCTGTTCAGAGTGTCTGAGTGTCTGAGCTCTGAACCCATGACTAACTCGACTCCTGAGCCCAACACCAGTCCTGATGGTGACAGTGAGGACACCGATCACATGGACCACAACCACCACAATGACGAGGAGCAGCACATGGAGATGCAGGCGGACCAAGAGGTGCAGCAATTGGACCAACAGATTGAAGGTTTGTGTCATTGCTTTGAATGGCATTTCATTGATCCAAATGTTGGACATAGAGTTGACTCAATTGGACACCAAATTGGATCAAATCAGTCACTTCTTGGACAAAATCGAGGAGAAGAATGAGTCCTTAAGACAACAAATCAATAGTTTTCTAAACGATATTAAAGAAGAGAATTCCGTTAAGAATACCAATAACCAGAAGAATAATTAATGTATCCGTTGAGCTGTTCCACACATTATCCCAGAAATCATTCATTTAGACAATTAAGACAATTAAGACATTAATCATGAATATATCGATATGTTTACAAATTATATATTTTATTTAAATGAGATTTAAGTTAATTTTTTGTGATAATTTTCTGTTAAAAATAATTCATTAAATTAAAGAATTTATTTAATATTTGGACTAAATTTACAAATTTTGGTAAAATATAGAAAATCATATAAAATTTAAAGGAAATAAATTTGGGTTTAAATTATTTGATTTAAAATGTGTCTGATGAGATTTGGAAATTATTTTTATTATATTAGAAATAATCGTCAATTGAATCCGTTATTAGTCTGTAAATAGAGTTGATATCTAACTGTAAGAATCAATGTATTTAAGTCTTTCAAACCATTGGGAGAACTCATGAGTAAATAAAAGTCATAATCGACGGGTGCAGACATTTGGGGCACAACACAAAAATTGTAAAAACTAAGCGTAAAATAAACATAAAAATAATCTAATACTCGGTATTCACTCATAAAATTCATTAAATTTCATTTCAAAATCACTAAATCAATAATAAATTGGTGTTTAATATTAAACCGGAAAGAGTTCAAAGTCTTCACTGACGAAGACTTTGGGTACGTGTTTGTCATCGATGTTGGGACTGGTCTTAAGGTCACATAAACCGAATTCCTTGAGTTTCCACTCCCACTCCAGTTTCTGCATCGCGAGCATCGATTCGGACTCCTTTTTGTGCCGCAAAAGCATCACATCCTTAGTCTTCTGCCACTTGTCGGCCACGTCTTGAAGCCATGAGAGGAATAGCCTTCCGTTATAACGAGTCCTATTGGCGCTCAAACCACCGCTGGTTCCGGTGACCAACACTTTCTCGCCTTTGATGTGATTAGAAATGGTCTCATTTTGTTCGCTTTCATTGTCAAAGATATTATAGATTTCCTCGTCTTTAAGAATAGAACAAACAGAAAAGGGAATGCTTTGGTTGACCATCGCTCGGGCAGCCCTTCCGTGCACCCGAAGAATCTCTTGTTCTGCCGACAGAATCAACTTTTGCCGATCAATCATATGCTGAACCTTCAGTTTATAGCGATGTCTCTCCTGTTCGCTGAAGATGTCCAGCATTCGAGAGCCGGACAGTGTGTTTGGGGGCACCGATAGACTCGGTTTGGTTGCTATATTCGCGCTGTCCTTTAGACTATTACTGCTATTATTGTTATTATTATTACTACTATTGTTGTTATCATTTCCCGACTTCTCTTCCAACACATACGAGCATCGGTTGAGAAGGTAGTCATCAAAACCTTGTGGCGCTTTCGGCGGAACCGAAAACATTTCTTTGCGTTTTTTGTCGATATTTTTTCTAATACTTAAAAACATTTGATAGCAATTAGTTTGCGGTAAAGCAAAGGGCGAAACATCTTTCGGGTTGTGAGAGAGACTCGATGTCGAAGAGGACGAGTCGTTGTCATTATCACCGTTTGAGTTACTGTTCACCGAATTGTTTGTATTGTTATTATTTGAATGACTCTTATTTTCATTGGTATTATTGTTACGAATCTTTCGTTTCCTCGGATGTTGTGAATCCGTTTGAGAAGTGTTGTGAAGTCCCGACTCTTCAGAGTCGCTGTGATGGTCGCCAGAAGTGGTCGACCGGTTTTGTTGCTGAGCAACCCTTTGGCTACTTCTGGTAATCCTTTGAGAGCCGACAGCACCCGAAACACATTCACCTTCACTTTGGAACGACTCTTCAGATGAGACTACATATGGAAACTTCGCACCTGAAGGGGCGGTACTCGATGTCACTGATGAGGACACTGATGAATGGGATCCACTGCTAGCGGCTGTGGTGGCACTCACTGATGGTGTGGTGATTGACGTGTTTGCGGGCAATACTATCCTAAGGGGCGGCACTTTTGGAGCGTTGGTTTCAGTGGAACCGACGCTTGTGTTTGGGTTCAAAGACGTGTCCTTAGGGTTCAACTCTTTATCACATTCCGAGCCTTCGATGCCTTCACTATCAGACGAAGAACCGAATAATTTCTTATCCTTTTTATCCTTATTGGATATGTTATTGGATTTATTCGAGTGATTCAAGTGATGGTGATGCGGGTGCTTCTTATTGTGCCAATTGTTGGTCACTTGTGTCGAAGACCCGACAGATGAAGTGCTGCCACTTCGAGAGGACTGACCTCCGGAAGCATTACTGGTTGACGAAACGCTGCCGTCGTTACTTTTCCTGCGCTTTCGATTTCGATTGGATTCATCAGAACCGGAAGTCTGTGTTGAATCAACAGTTGTGTAGTTGTGGTCACTGCTGGCGGCCACTGTATCCGATGGACTCCCGTTAGCACCGGTTGTTTTGTTATCAGTCTGTCTGTCAGAAGTTGAGTCATTAGTCACTTCCTTATCTTTGTCTGAAGCGCTGGAAACACTATAAGACTTGGTTGAGGACATTGTGGAGCTGGTAGTGATAGGAGTACTCGTTATAGTTGTCGACTGTTTGGGGTCTTTGATGGTTTGGAATCTAAGTGTCAATCGCGGAGATGTGGGCTTCAGAGGAGAGGAACTGTTGGGCGAAGAGGATCTACTTTTACTGCTATTATCTTTATTATATCCACCATTTTTTCGCATCTTCTCCTCAATCAAAGAACTGATCTCTTCGTAAACTCTAACACTTTTTGTCACTTGAAGTGCAGTTTTGTTAGAATTATTGGTCAGAGTATAGTCGGCGCCATATTTCAGCAATAGTTGGACTAAAAGGTGGTGACCATTGACGGCGGCGTCGATCAGAGGCGTGTCATTGTTATAACCTCTGGCGTTGACATTAGAACCGGCTTTCAATAGCTCCTCGACTATCGATACAAATCCTCGATTACAGGCCTCATGTATAGGTGACCAGCCTTTCCATTCATACATCACATTCAATATGATTAGATATAATGTTATATTACGCGTGTTGTGGTGATGGCATACCTGCGAAGTCAGTGATGTCGATGTCGTATTTGTTGTCTGCGATGATCTGTCGGACACGAGTGAGATCTCCTTTGATGGCTGCGACGTGAAGAGCGGTCTCTCCCTTAGGATTACGTCTAACTCTTTGCCCACTTTTTATCGCATAATTGGTGTGATTAGTGGTATGATCAGCGCCTATAATAGCGATTGATAAGAATTAAACAATTAAATGATTACTAATTTTAAGCCATTTTTGAGCGAATCCTTGAATTGTAAGGAAGGGATGAAAGAGCAGTGAAACACTGACTCGTCAGTCAAAAAGTGATTGCTTTCATACCATTAACACTAATGCTATTAATATCTCTATGAATACCAGTTTTGTGAGCATCATTAACAGTGAGACAAACATTACATAAATATTAAATAATTGGCAAAAACAAAGATTTGCTAAAATCACTCATTTATTACTGATTACTCGCCTATACTATAGTATTATGTGATACTATATATTGCAGGCAATGGTTATAATTAGGCTCCTATTATGTACTCATATTTAGCACTCATTTCAATATCAATTACTCAATGAATGGGTTTTTCATACAAATCTCAAAAACAATAAATATTGCACTCAATAGCAAGTAAATCTAGTACTGTATTGCATATTGTACATACTCATTTCAATTAAATCATTGATTGCCATTTAAAATACAAACAATTTAACAGTCAATGACATTAAATTTGAAATAATAAACTTTTGTTAAAAATATACTACCATACATATATAATAATTTATGATACAATATTTGCATTATTAATATTAATTTATTATAAATATATTTGCAAACACATATGGATCAGTTTAAATTTAATTAAAATTTAAGTTAATTATACGTATAGTGTACTTACTATTTGTCAGATTGTAATCAAATTGATTTCAAAAATAACATTTTTATGATTTATTGTTTGTTACATAAACTGCATTTGCATTGCATTTATGACTCAAACGGCTATTTACTGCTTATAATTGTATGACAATTGCGGCTAATTTATGACATAAAGTGTAATTCAAATGAATTAAGTGTTTGTAACACATCGACTATATTACACTGAAATCCAATTCAATAATTCATTGAATAGATTTGAGATTTTGAACAAATATTTCACACAAAAAGGGACCCAAAAAGCAGTGCTTTTAATAGATCTTAAGGCTATGTCTACACACGGCTATAGGGGTCGACACAAGCATTGACTTCATGTGAATGTCATTGAAAGCCGTGTCTCTCAGTCTCTCTCACTATCTCTCTCTCTGTCTCTCTCACTGTCTCTCTCACTGTCTGTCTGTTATCCACATTATAGCTGCTCTTCATTGACCCGATTGGCGAAGAGTCCACTCATTTGATCCTATTATACCTCATTTAAGCGCATTTGCACACCAGTGAAGGTAAGTGTGAGCCAGTGATACAACGGATCAATTGAATGCATTTGTAAACAATTTGTTTGTAATGCAAAGCAATGGCCGGCGAAGCAGTGGATGCATCAAAATTCACGGGACTTTCAAAATACTTCAATTCGTGGACAGATTATGGCCGAAGAAACGTGTCTTTGGCTACACTGTCTATGGTTGGACTCGGGATCCTATTTCTGGTCTTAAAGCCCAAGAAACAGAAGCAAATCAAGAAATAGGCACTAATTGTAATCAATTGTTAGACTTTTTTGCATTATTTCCGATGCATTCTTGCATTCATTGATTGTTTGAACACAAACTCAATACTTTGTATTTAATTAAACGGTAGTTCTTAAGCATTATTTAGAAATTAAATATATATTACTATTATATTTGGTTTAAAATGAATTTCTCAAACAAAATTTTGTTTAAATCAATAGTAAATTAGATAATAATTAAATAAAAGTAAATAGTTTTTCGTCTTAAAAGTATTGCACAGAAATTGAACTCACATTCAGACAGATTGGATGATAATTGTAAAGCGATAGCCAACTGTTGTCTCTCTGACAGTGGTGTCACATTTGGTTCACTTCTTGTTGTGGTTTCGGGATTACTGTCGAAAAGTCTTCGCCTCGAAAACAATTTTTGTTTTTTAATGATTTGTCTCTTCGAGTGGTTTTGTGACGAAGAAGAGACGGATGAGTCGGTCAATGGTGTGCAGCAAGTCATGGATGAGTTGATCAGTGAAGATGCGGGTGAATATGGAGGCGATCGGGCCTTAAGAGGAATATTTATATGAGAATTGGTGACAATAAGTGGTCTCAAGAAGTGAATTACATATTTGTGGTCAAATCTGATGGAGTGATAGCTGTTTGGAGTGCTTTCGCTGAAGTAATCCGATGTTTCAGATCTGATGGACAGACAATCAAATCGGTTCTCTTCGTCGGACATCGCGGTGACAATGAGTGAGGTATTGGATGAGATAATTGTATGACACGTGTTGACCACAAGACATACACTGATTAATGGGAACAAATGAATGCAAATAAATAAATGAATGAATGAGTGATTCATTCATTAAACGCAAATGAAATGCATTTAAAGCGAAACAAAGTTTGGCTCCAAATTGCTGTTCAAAGCCATGCATTGAATCGCGCGCTCATAGCCTACCAGTGCGTTGGGTTTGGCGCACCATTTGAATGCATTTACTGTCACTGTATTGTAAGATATAAATGCATTCAGGTTACTGTTTAACATTAGATAAATACAGTTATATTATTAATATATTTTATTAACAAATTTATTTTTAAAAATATATTACAAATACAAAATTGATGCACAATTTCTAGACAACAAAGTTTTCTCTCAATACAGTTAACGCCAAATCATAAGCGCCTGAATGGCGATAAATGAGTGACAAGTTATACGCGATTTCTCTCTTGAGATCGAAAACATGTTTATTCTTGACATTAATATTGATGGGTGTGTTGAGAGCCCTCAAGTTAACGCCAAATCATAAGCGCCTGAATGGCGATAAATGAGTGACAAGTTATACGCGATTTCTCTCTTGAGATCGAAAACATGTTTATTCTTGACATTAATATTGATGGGTGTGTTGAGAGCCCTCCTATAGAAGTGGAGGGCGTTGTGAAAGAGGCCCAACTGGTGGAAAGCGCGGCCCACGTTGTATAAGCTTTCCTGACATTCACCCCTCAGCTCGAGGTATAGATCGAGAAAAGCGCACATTTGTATGACAATTGAGTGCCGATTACTCGTGAACTTCTGAGAGGCCAAGTGTACGAACGCCAGGCCCACAGAAAAGGCCGCAAACGGGTCTTTGGGACACTGTTTCAAAATCGACACATACTCTGCCAACGCGTGCTTATAACTACCACTCATGAGGGCGTTGTGGCCATTAAAGTAGGCCAACGCTATGTTATCGGGGTTTTTGATGAACAGTCTGATGCAGAAGCGATTGTGTCGTAAGTCTTGATAGAACTGAGACATCACGGGACAGAAGATATTCCAGATCTGGTTGTTGTCTATGTTTCGCACAATTAATGCTTTTATCAATGGATAGGTGTAGAGGAGGTTCTTCGAGACGTAACAACACATGAGAGCGTAATAATCAATGAGATCCTGTTTATTGGCAAAAGCACTGGACGTATAGCCAGAGAATGCAATTTTGACGGCTTCTTCCGAGTCATGGGTTTTGTATAACAAAACATTCAAAAGTTTGACAAACACTTCAATCATTGTTTCCGAGTCAACACTATTGCCAATGTATTTGTGAGAACGTATATCGTCTGTGAGACCCAAGTCTTTGTGGACATCGCGTAAGGCTTCCAATCGAGTTCTATAAGACGAGGAGGAGATCATAGTTGAGAGCTCTTTGCTGTGTCTCAAGTATGTCATATCACTGGACAACATAATTTTGGCCGCATTTGAGAAGTCATTCCACAGTCTCTGTGAATACAACAAACGGCACCGCATTTGCAGTAAATCTAAATCCATTTCCCTCTCACTCTCGCACTGACTCGCAATTTCAAGCGCTTCCCGATCTTTGCCGACACTGACCAACAATTTTGAAAGTTTAAGACGCGCCTGAAAATGGTTGGGCGCCAGTCGGACAACCGTTGAATACGCGATAATCGACTTCTCAACCTCTTTGGTCTTCTCGAGACACTCTGCGTATCGCAACCAAACTGAAGCCTCGTTGTAGGTCTCGGTGTCGACCAGATGTTGGACTATAAGTCTTGCGTTTTCATGCAAATCCATTTTCATGAACGCGTCCACAATATCCAGATATAAGTCACCGATTGTTTCCGCACTCTGACGGAGCACTTCTTGGAGTAAGTCGTGGACAGAGAGAAGACACCGAAGATTGATAAGAGTGACAATCAGTTTGGCTCTTAAGTCGATCGGCAGCTCTCCGTATATGAGATGTATAGTGAGGTCACATCTGCTGATAATCTCATCGTTTAGTTCATTGCATTCAACGCCTAAACTCATGAGTTTGAGGCCACAATACTTGCGGAAAGCCATCAAAGCGTTGACGTACTGTTCGTTTGTAATCAAAAGCTCGATATAAACGTTCACTTCTTCTGAAGTGACGAATGAGTTGTGTTTCTCGAGCGCCGATTCAATCACTTCGATGGCAGACAATATGTTTCCGTTATTGTACTGTATTTTGACGATATCTTTAGCCAATTGGAGAGCGAGTTCGCCATCATTCGGCTGCAGAGCTCTCATGAGGTTCTCGTAGGCATCGAGTGCTCTCTTCATGTCCCCGACCTTCTCGTAGAGCTGACACCTCTCGAAATGCAGTTTTATGTTATCCGGGAATATCTTTATGGCTTTCGAGTAACAACTGATCGCAAGCTTACAAAAGCCTAACTCAGAGGCCATTTCTGCCACTTTCACCCATCCGTCGCCGTCTGACGGACACAAGTAGGCGGCGATCAGTAGGTATTGGAAAGTCTTGTTGTCGTCCCCCATCTCCTCGTAGATCATAGCAAGCGTTTGGAAGGGTTCCGCGCAATCGGGCGACTGTCGCACCACTTCCAGTGCCATTTTGATGGCTTCCTCGTGGTTGCCGCGCGCCAGCATCATATTGGCCTCACCTACCAGTCCCTGCAGATCGCGGGGCAGTCGTCGCCTTTGACGCGACCCCTGAGGACCCCCTTTCGATGGCGACTCCTCTTTGTTCGCTTTGGTCTTCTTCTTGCTTTTGGTCTCTTTGACGGCCGCCTTCTGACTCGTCGTCTTATCCGGCGTTTTAGGGATGAGGTCGTCGTCTATCTTCTCCATAATGTCCGCCAATTCATTGAAACTAATCTTTCCGTCGATATATCTAACCGTAAGATTTGAGTCCCATTTGGAAGGTATGGCCTCCGAGTGCTCCTCGATGTGAACCGTTGTGCCCGAAGTGCTGGCCATCGGATCGCGTGATGCGGATATAGCGCTCAGTTGTGCGTTGTCTTCATCCGAGTCATCGGTACCCATTTGGAAGGTATGGCCTCCGAGTGCTCCTCGATGTGAACCGTTGTGCCCGAAGTGCTGGCCATCGGATCGCGTGATGCGGATATAGCGCTCAGTTGTGCGTTGTCTTCATCCGAGTCATCGGTGGAGTGGCCCTCACTGTCGCTGCAGATGAGATCACCGGATCTGATCTGTTTGTATGTCTGCCACTGCTCTGATGTGATGCTACCGCCGGTCAGCATATTCTCCAACAAATCGCTGGCTCTTGACTTCTTGGCACTCATTGTGTCCACCAATTAATGGTCGCATCAATTGATCCACAAAATGGTAAACAACTCTTGTTTTGAAATAGTGTTCACTGTGTTACACGTTGTCTATGAATGACCCCCACATGTGATGCATTGAATGCAGAAAATTAGGGATTTTTGTAGTGATTTGTTGATTGAGTGAAGTGTTGGACACATTTGGCACCAATTTTGTGGATCAACTCAAGTGTCCATTAATTAGTGGACACAATGAGTGTCACTCCGAGTGTCAAACGTAAGGCCGACGCCATTGAGGACGAGATGACGGCTCTGGAGGGCATGACTTACGAGGAATACGTGCAGAAAGACAACGAAAAGTTGAGACAAGAGATGAGGGAAATGAAGGACACGTTTGAGAGACTGAAGCGACAGAAGGAGAGGTTAGACGAGAGGGTGAGACAGGAGATGGAGCTGAGGATGAAGGAGAAGAGGGACTCTGAGACACTGTATGTGAATCAGAGACTAGAGTTGGACAAAGCGAAGAGGGATAAAGTGGTGCTCGAGAATCAGCTGAAGACTAGGAACGACGAGTTGAGCAAAATTAAGAGCGCTCTGACCACCAGTACTCCTGATGTCGATGACATCGAGTGCGACAAATGCGACTTCAAGACCAGATCGGAGGTGTCGCTCATCTTGCACACAATTAACCACAAGTTGTCTCATCCCAACCAAAGACGACTTATTCTTCACCCAAATATGTTTAGCTCCCGAAACCCCAACTCTTCGTATCTGTATATGTGTCCCATTTGTGACGGTCATATAACCGGCTTTTTATCACTTAACGGTATATAATCTATAATCTTATTAATTGGTTCTTCATTTGTTGCCACCACAGGATCAGCGCTGACCCGCAATGAGATATATCCGCATATCTATCAGAATCACACCAAAGAGAAGGCATACAAATGCAATGTTACGCTATAGAAGAAGTGAGTGTAGCTAATGGACTTCTGTGTGGTGTTTGTGCTTGTGCTCTCTATGTTTCCGTGAGCAGTCAGCTTCTGTTAGTGGTAAAGACCGATACTCTATGGCTTTCTCGGATTAATCACAACGGTTTACAAGCCATCGGCCAGTAGAGGCACTCAAACCATGATCCTGTCGGCCAACGGAACGCCCATCGAAGTGGCGCCCACTCCCGGGCCCTCCACTTCTGTGACCACAAGCAACACGTCTTTTAGTTATTGCCCGCAAGTGTCTGGCGATGAGGTGTTGAAGTGTTCGTTCCCTCACTGCTCCTTCACTACAAACAACAAACAGAAACTCGAGTTTCATATCAGCGCCCACACCAACTCCAAGTACAAGGTTTGCGTTAATCACCACATGATTATACATTTATATTATGTCTAATTGTCTTATTATCTTCTTCCGCAGTGTCCGTATTGCGCTTACGTAAGTCCATTTTTTTTGACCATTTTTTATCTTATTTTATTGTTAAACTTGAAGAATATGTTAGAGGAATGTGTTTGAGAATTGGAGTGATTTCTGATGAGAATGAATGGTTTGAATGAGAGTTGAATGAAATGCAGATAAAACTCATTTGGAGTTAGTGTCTGAACAGTATAAGACCGAGGAGGGGGTGGGGAGGGGGCCCCGGCCACCCGAACCCCTATTTTTACTTTTATTATACACTATTCTACAGTAGAAACCATTCTATACATTGACTGTGACTATGATAGCATAAATTGATTGAAGCATAACATTGTGGTTAACCCTACAGGTGGGCAATATTCTCACTGATATCTACCGCCACATCAAGAAGAGTACCAAACATGACGGCAAGAAAGTGTTTGAATGCAAAATACACCAGAAATGCGATTTTGCCATCGATTGCGAAAAGTCCTTTAAAGAGCACTTAAGACTTAAGCACTTCCGAGAGGACACTCCCGAGAAATACATCGACGGTATCGTTGAGGACCTATTCCTCAATAAGCCAACCAATGGTGACGATCCCAACAATAAATGAATATAATGTCTCAATTCTTACAGAATACTGCATTCCAATGATTAAACAATTTTTAAAAACTTTTTTACCAATTTCTAATTAGTCTTCAACGAGATACTGATTACCGCATTATGACATACATTATATGTATTAAAAATTTTTATTTGAATTAAAATAAAATTATAATTAAATCTTACTCTGTTATTGTGGTAATTTGTAAATATTTGCAATTCCATTATAAGTGGTACAAACACTCACCTATTGTTTGAGGTTACTTAAAAACTCGATTGTAATTTTTGAGTAATTAATGGCATTTATTTTTACTAAATTTTACTCCAAAAAATGTATAAAAAGAGTAAATTTTAGAGTTACTTAAGTAAATTACAGTTTGGTTTGTTTACATGCGATTATTTGTTCACATTTTGTTTGATTAGTCGTTCAGTATTTTAAAATACATTGAATTCTTACAGCCTTTTATGTGAAGTTTTTACAAATGACAGATTAATAGTTTAATTGATAATTAATATTTAGATATATTTCTTTAAATTATGTATAATATTTATATGAATTTAATAAATTTGTTTATATTTTTAATTATATTCACTCAAAGAAAATCACACAGTTTGAAATATATACTTAGTCTTAATGTTCTAAACCATACAAATAAAACACCTAAGTTAATATATAGTATCATAAAATTATTAACTTAAAATTAAATATATTTTGAAATAAGAAATTTTCACTATACAATTGTGGTATAAACTATATACGGTACAAGCTTAATAGTTAATAATTTAAATTCTTTAACCCAGAATTCTGGCCTAAAATATTTAAGTTGTAAAACAAAATTTCCTTTAAAATTTTAAAATACGATTCTTTAGTTATAATACTTACTTATTATATTAGAATATATTTTTTAAACAAAAATTTTTATTAGAATTAAAAATATAACACAATTTATTGAATTTGTTTAAAATAACAGCAAAACTCAGTTAAGCATCACTTGAAATACAGCAAAAACATCACAACAGTACCCAATGATTGTACGGATAGGGCTAGCCAACTCTAGCTATACCAGAAGTCTCTGCTATTGTCGTTAAGGTCGTTTATAATACGGCAAATGCGGTTGTTTGTCAAAATACACCTTTAGCTCCCTTACTGGTCTCTAGTGTACGGATATCAGGATAGAGACACCCAACCCATGCCAGTGGACAGTCGTTTCCAGAGAAAGATGACGGGAAAGCTTCCAATCAAGGAATACAAATTCGTTGGTCCCCTATATCTCTATAAAGTTCCGGTTTGTAAACACATTTGATTTTTAATTTTTACAAATGTTTGATAAGAAATTCCTAATTAAAGAACGAAAGTGGAAAATATCGGTTAATTGGCTTCAATCAAGTCTGGTTGGGTTGCCCTCAGCCCCTCTGTATATCCCCTGGTTTTGACGCAATATTATCAGCCGGTTCTATTTATGCGGGATCACCCGGTTATATATACCACGGTCATCATGGTAGAGAAAACATGATTATCGTGTTTCGAGGAAATTATTTCTGGCACTACGACCTCTGTAAGCAATTATTGTTGTGTTTTCTCAATTAAGACTTGTTTTCATTGAATGATTACTACATAAGCGGCTAAAAGAGCTCCAAAACACCCGCCGCTCACTGATTGGGCCGTTCGAGTGGCCGACCGTTTTATCGACCACCGATACTATCGTTATAGTCATTACACGACACGAAAAAGTCGATTATATCCTAAAACTTCGTCGAGTAGTTTTATGAATGACTCGATGGTTGTCCCCACTTATATCGATGCCATTGTTCCCGGAATTAACAAATATAACAATTGCATCTATTTTTTCAAAGTATTCACATTTTGTTTAAGATTAAGAGTTATATATAAAGTTCTTAAAATTTAATGAATCTATTGATAGGACGACCAGTTTGTATGCTATGAATTATTTTCAACGATTTCCGCCCCAATGAAAATCAGTAACGAATGGAAATCAACGGAACCGACGTGGAAGTCAGCCAGGTTTGACGCAGCCTTTCATATTAAAAGTTTCATATATTTCATCGCCGGTACGACCTTTCTCAATTACCACTTCAATACATTTATAATGAATTAATTTATGGTCAAAAAACAGGTCAACAGATTTGGTGTTTCACTTCAGACAGGATTGCGTGTCATAAATATCCGATGAAACTGACAGACATTCACAAAGACTTTCCTAAAAGCATAACCACAGCGTTTCAACACCAGGACTTTCTGTACATTATTAAAGGATCTCTTTATTACAAGATTCCTGTCTCGAAATTTCCAGTAATATGCCATTCATTTGCTACGAAATTGTCACAAATATATTGATAAATAAACTTTATAATTTAGTCTAAGATTAGCCATGATGACTTGGAAGCGAAGTACATATTCCAGGATCTGTTGGGCTGTGATGAGGGCATGTATACGGCCTGGGGTTTCGACAGCTATGACTACTTTATCGAGAATTTTGCGAAACGGATGCAAAACGAGAATTCCTATTCAAGTGAAACCCATTTTAATCCAACTTTTCTAATCGTTAGTAAGAGTTAGGATAAGTAACCTAGTCGATAAAATAACCAACACACCATAAAATTTGGATTAACCTAGTGTTTTCATGAGTTTTATTATTTTAGGGGAAAATTAATTTGATTAATAGAACTATAACTAATCAAACGAACCACGAAATAATTATTCAAATTCTGTTATTATATTGTTATATAATGTTATTAAAAATAAAGGGTTTTAATTAACTGTTGTTTTAATTATATTTAGACTACAGGGTTGTTATTAAACATAAGACCAATTTGGGAGGCTTGGCATTTGAACACCTGTACCGTACTATTGTTTCATGATTGAAAGTTGTAGAGGATTTTTATGTATAATATTAAATATTAGAAATTTTGTAGAAAAACTTTTATACTTGATTTTTTCAAGAACCATGCAAAATATTTTGTTATTTTAAGAAATTATAACATACAGTATAACTAGATCACATAAAAATACAGTATAACTCTGTATTTTATGTGCGATCACCCGAAACAGTTATAGTATTATATTAATAAAGGAAAATAAATGCTCACATAAGGTTTACTCAAATTGTCAAAATAATTTTATTTTAGAAATTGCACAAAAAATCATATACCGTCATTTTATAATCAATTGAACACATCATATCATAATAAAATCCTAAAGTGAAGTGTGTTTTAGACAAAAGACATATGGATTCTGTAAATACAAGTCTGAACTGAGAAATGAATAAATGTTTGAATAATTAAGAATCGATAGAATGAATGGTTGAGTCATTCGGCAGAAACTCTCTGTTTATTGTTTTCGTTGAGAAACAGTTCTTCGAGGAGAGAGTCCAGCGCCGCTTCGTCCACATGATGGCCGTAATGACTCTTTTTGAGGTGATCTTTGAATGTGCGCTCGCAGTCCGACCCGTAGTCACACTTCACACACTGGAAAACGTTGAGTCCCTCATGTTTCTTACTCTTGAGAATATGTCTGCGGATGTCTACTAAAATGTTGCCCACCTATAGAGTTATGGATTAGATGTTAGCATGGTTCATTTTATTATTCATTTCATGCAACTTATCAATTTCGCATTAAAGAAATATGAGAAAAATGGACTTCAACAAACACCCCCTTTTTACTTTTTTTTACTTTTATTATATTTTCAAAATTTCAAAGAATGTGTGAGAAATGGAAGTGATTTGTGGTCTGAAAGAGTCATTTCAATTAGAGTTTGAATGAAATGCAGATCAAAC